AAACCATAAAGTAAAACCACAATGAGATATCATGTCATGCCTATCATAATGGCTAAAATAAAGAAAAAAAAAAAAAAGGACGATGCTCATATTAGTCAAATTTCTCCAGAGAAAAAGAACAAGTAGGACATTCCTAGAGATAAATAAGAGGAGGTTTATTATGAAGAGTTGGCCAAGAAGTCCCAGAATCTACCATCCACAAGCTGGAGACCAGGAGAGCTGGTGGTGTAATTCAGTCCAAATCGGAAGGCCTGACAATCAGAGGATACAGATATGATGCATATCTATATCCCAGTCTGAGAGCAGGACAAGATGAGATGAGATGTCCCCAGCTCAGGTAGTAAAGTAGGGAAAAAAAAAAAAAAAAAAAAAAAGGCAAATGCCTTCTTCTTCCAGCTTTTTGTTCTATGCAGGACCTCAATAAACGAATGACATTCATATGGTTTGGCTGTGTCCCCACCCAAATCTCACTATGAGTTGTAATAGTCCCCACGTGTCAAGGGTAGGGCCAGATGGAGATAATTGAATCATGGGGGTGGTTCCCCCATACTGTTCTAGTGGTAGTGATTAAGTCTCACGAGATCTGATGATTTTCCAAATGGGAAGTTCCCCTGCACAAGGTCTTGCCTGCTGCCTTGTAAGATGTGACTTTGCTTCTCCTTTGCCTTCTGCCATGATTCTGAGGCCTCCTAAGTCCTGTGGGACTGTGAGTTCATTAAACCTCTTTCCTTTATAAATTACCCAGTTTCAGGTATGTCTTTATTAGCAGCATGAGAACAGACTAATACAGATGCCCACCCTCCTTGGAGAGGCCAATTTACTCTACTGAGTCCACTGATTCAAATGCTTACCTTATCCAGAAGCACCTTCAGGGACACACCCATAAATAATGTTTTATCTGGGCACCCGATAGAAACTGATTCATAAAATTAACTATCACAACACCAAATACTGGCAAGGATATGGAAAACCCACTCCTACGTTGCTGGTAGGAATGTAAAATGTTACAGCCACTGTGAAAAACAGTTTGGCAGTTTCTTTGAAATGAAAACTGTAACTACCACATGATCCTGGGCCCTTATCCCAGAGAAGTGAAGACATGTTTATACAAAAAGCCATACACCATGTCTATAGCAGTGTCATTCATAACAGCCAAAAGCTAGAAATGACCAGGATGTCCTTTGACAGGTGAATGGTTAAACAAACTATGATACACCCATAACATAGAATAATACCCAGCAATGCAAAGGAACAAACTATTGATACAGGCAACAATCTGGATGGACCTCCAGGGAACTATGCTGTGTGAAAACTGCTGATCTCAAAAGAGTATAAACTGTATGATTCTTTTATAACATTCTTGCAATCACAAAATTATAGAAAGGAAGGACAGATGAGTGGTTGCCCCGGGTTAAAGAGTGGGTGGGGCAGGGAGGAAGTAGGTCTCCCCGTAAAAGAGCAAAGTGAGAAATGCTTGTGGTGGTAGAAATGTTCTGTATCTTCACCATATCAATGTCAGTATCCTTGGGCCGATATTGTGCTCTAATTTTGCAAGATGTTATCATTGGGAGAAACTGGGTAAAGGGTACATGAGATCTCTGTATTATTTCCTACAACTGCACATGAGCCTATAATCATCTCAAAATAAAAATTTTTAAGAAAGGCACCATGAAATGATTTCAGCAAAAGATTTGCAAGATCTTTATATAGAAATACTAAAGAAAAATTAAGCATATAAAGAGATATGGCATGTTCTTGAAGAGAAATATTTGTTATCTGTAATATGTCAATGATACCCAAAAAGAGTTAATAGAATTGTGTTCAAGCCCAGGTTACTTGGGGGAGCTGACGAGGTCACCCTAAAATGTATCCAAAGAGCAAAGAGCCACAGGTAGTAAGGAAACAAAGAACGCAGTGAGAAAACCTGCTCTCCCATACATGGATTAGCATGAAACTAGAGTAACTAAATCAGAATAGCATTAGTATTAGACAGATGAACAACCAATGGAACAGAACAGCCTAGAAACAGACTCATGGCTAGATGGACACCTGACAAATTTGGTGTTGCAGATCAACAGAAAAGAGCCGATCTAGTCAATATGGGGCTGGAATAATTGAACATTAATATGAGAAAAATAAAATTGCTTCCTTACTCCCGCCTCACACACAATATATCAGTTATACAAGGCTGAAATATGAGAAAAGGTATTTAAATTTTTACTAAAATACTACAGGACAATATCTTTATGGTCTCAAATTGGCAAATAATTTATTAAACAAGGGCTAACTATAAAAGAAAATGTTAATAAATTTTGACCAAATTAAAATTATTTACTTCTGTTCATGAAAATATATAATAGAGTGAAAAGAAATGTAAACATGAAAGATGATATTTAAAAACCTATAACTAACAAGACTAGTATCTAAAACATATACATACTTTTCCTGAGTCAATAAAAAAACAATAAGCAAAATTTTAAAACACGCACAAAAGACCTGATGAAAGGCATTTCTCATCAAAGGAAATGAAACTGATCAATAGGTGTGTAAAAGATGCTTAGTGTCATTAGTAGTCAGAGAAATGAGGATCAAATCCAAATGAAACACTACTTCATCATATCATATTTGCAAAATTAAAAAAAAAATCCTAACAATACAAAGTGTTGGTCAATGTGGAGCAATAAGAACCCATGCCTGCTATAGGTAGGATAATAAAATGGGTGAAACCGCCTTGGAAATCAGAAACTGGAAAACAATGGGCATCTATTAGTAAAAGCACAGAGGAGCTGACCACAAGATCCAACTGTTCCATTCCTGAGGACCCCTTGCACCTGTGCATCCGAAGACAAGATCGAGAGTGTTCATAGCAGCATTTTTTTTTTTTTGGCATTATCAGAAAACCTGGAGATGACCAAAGTATCCATCAAAGGGCTAGTGCCTCAATAAAAACTGTGATAAAGACATACAAATGGGACATTGTGTAGCACTGAAAAACAATGGACATCAACTACACAAATAATGCTGAGAAAGGAACAGAGAAGACATGGAAGAACAAATTTAGAGCAATTTAATTTTTCTACAAAGGGTTAAAGCAGGCAAACTATAAAGGTAAAACTATAAAGGAAAGCAAGAGAATTGACATGAATGAATACTAAATAGGATGGAGGTGACCCTGGAAACGGGGCAGGTAGGAGATGCCTTAGGAGAGATACACAGTAGGATTTGAAGACTGTTTTTTATTGTTCCATTTTTTTAACCTATGCAAGGCTATATTATATTTCACATTGCACACACACAACATACATGCCCTTTGATTGTGAAGTATGACACTTCACAATAAATGTACATATTTCTTACAGCAGATAGGGAGCCCTGGACAGTCCTGGGCAAGCTGCTCTGCTATTGGCCACAGGAAGGATGGAAGGAGGTGGACGGCTGTTGGCATGGACTGTTTGGGCATGCCCCGTGTGGATGACGCTGGGAGTGGCAGGAATGATGGGTGTGGCGAGCACAGTACTGACTAAAAACAGGGAGGGAAGGGAGGGCCAGGGAATTGGAAGGTTTAGAGACCAGAGGAGGAAGGGAGGAGGCAAGCATGACGGGAAAAGTGAAGAGAGAGAAGAAAGAGAAAAGTGGTGGGGGGCGGGTGGGGGAGAAGGAGAGAAGGAAGAGGAGGTAGAAAAGGAGAGAGAAAGGAAGGGAAGGGAAAGAAAGGAAAGTTATAGGAAAGATGACACTGAGAGCCTTCTATAAGTCAGTGAGGTTCTGGTCCCATTCCCACAGCCACAGTCCCTGCTGGGCCCCTAGCTGCTGCGGGACCTTGAACAAACCCCTCCATCTCCCTGTGCCACAGCTTCCTTGCCTGTGACAAAGTCTGGGAGTCCCAGGCTGCCCCTCAGAGAGGCTCATGATGACCATGAGTGTGAAGTACCTGGAAGAGATACCACCCGAAGGGACCAGTGGTACTCTACACACACACACACACACACACACACACACACACACACACACACACACACACACACAGAGTTCCCCTTACTTGTGGCAGCTGCATGAGTTTCGATACTTGTTTGAGCAGAGAGCCATAGAGTACCCGCTGTGCAACTTGAGCACCGTGCAGTCCTCGAAGACACCACTCACAGCCTCATCTCTATTGCATGATTAGCCATGTTAGGGCTCTCATTTATTGAGGACACCGCGTGCTGTATTCCCTATCTCATTTAATTATTCGGTTCTGTATTGTCTTTTCACAGATGAGGAAATCTAGGCTCAAAGACACTATCTTGTTCAAGCTGCACAACAAAACAGAGCTAGGATTAAACCTCGTTCTGCTCAGATGCCGAGCCGGGAGCACACTGGACTCTGGGAGGAGCGTTGGCGTGGAAAGCCAGGTCACTCCGATCTTGGTCCCCAAGAGAAGAGCTGCCCACAGCCCCGGGTGGGTTGGGCTCAACTGCACGGGGCGGGGCGCCAACAGCTCAGGACTTGGGTTCCAGGCTGGTTTTTGCACCAATCAGCGGGGCGGCCTCGGGCCTCAGTTTTCCCCATCCCGCGCACGAAGGGAGGCGATTGTGAGCGCTTGGGGTTTCTGACGGACCCCGCCCCGGGGGTGGGGCCGGGAGTGGTCACGTGGAGGGGCGCCCCGTCCCCCGAGCCCCGGCCCGCCCCGCCCTCCCCCGCGCTCGGAGCCCTCCGCCCAGTAGCTGTCTGGAGCCAGAAGCCCAGAGACAGCCGAGGGCGCCGTGCGGGCTCCGGACGCTAGCTGCTCCGCCCGATCCCCGCCAACTGTGCAGGCTGCTGACCCGCAGCGGCAGCTGCAGCATCGAGGACTCGAGCGCGGGCGGCAGCAACAGCCGCGGCGAAAGCGACACCATGGATCTCTCCTTTATGGCCGCGCAGGTAACGGGGCGCCCTTCCCACGCGCCCCTGGCCACCAAGTTTGGGGAGGTTCGGGGCCACGGTCTCGCCCTCCACGTTGGGACTGGGCAGTGGCGCCCTCCCGCGATCCGCGTTCCGGTCCTTTGTCCCGAGCCGGGCACCCCCACCTGGTGCACGCGTCGGGTGCGGCGATCGCGGCTCTCCCGGGGTGCGGCGGGCTGCGCGCCCCGCACCCCCGTGGCTCGAGCTGTTCCCACTCGGGCCCCTCTCTCTGGCAGGGAGGCTGCGAGGAGCCTGGGCAACCCGAGTCGCCCCCTTCCTGCCCATCCCCCACTGCTGTCCCCCTTCTGGGGTCCCGGAGCCCTCCAGGACCGGGGCGGCTCAGACCCGCGCGAACGCGGATGGGCGCACAGTCTGGCTCTTCCCCGCTCTGTTTTGCCGAGGCGCCGGTAATCTGTCTCTTGCCGGTGACCTCGAGCGCCCCCTCTGCCGCCGCCCGAGGAAGCCGCTGAGACCCGCTTTGTGACCGTGACCCGCCAAGCGTCGACGCGCCGCGGTCATTTGTCCTCTTTTGCTTTGTGTAGAGTCTAATGGAGCCACCAGTGCCCAGCGCGGCCGGAACCCTCCCCCGACACAAACAGGCTCCCAATGGCTGGAAAAACAAATCTCTCACAGCTTGAATTTTCCTCCAGCGGAATCCCCTGGAGTTCTGAGCTTGGGTGATGATTCTGTTTCTGTGTCTTAACTCTCTTGAGCCAGAACAAAGACAAATCCCGGATTTCTCCATCCGTCTGGGGCACTAGAGAAGACCCAGAGCTGGCTCCAGGGAAGGGCTGCATTTGGCTTGGGAGAGTAAGTCCCAATCTACCAAAGCCACGTCTTGCAACTTCTCTGGTTGTGTTGGTTGGTTATGGTGGGAGCAGAGAGGTCGGGAGGCCACCCAGGCTCCCTTCTGTCTCCATGGTGTGTGGCAGGGACCCCATCTGCTGCTGTTTTCTTTTACAGGGAATGACATTTGAGGGGACGCTTTCTTTTTCCCCAAGCTTCACCTGTAGTGGAAGCCTGTTTGAAAAGTGACAGCAAAATCCAGCCTGTGTGTTGGCAGCGAGTCTGCAAATGGAAGCAAAAAAGGTGCAGAAGCCCCAAGTTAGCTCTGGGGGTCTAGATCCTGGCTCTCTGGCAGCCTCTTAAGTGTTCCATGATGCTAATTGCCCTTCTGAGTATTGCTGCCCCCCCTTTTTTTTTTGCCTGATTTTACATCTCCTGTGCCTAAATTCATACTTATAAATATTGTCATGTAAACATCATTTTAGATAATGATGGTTTTAGCTGCAGGAAATCTAAGGAGGCTTTCCGGGATTTATTTCTAGAGTGGAGAGGAACTGGGTCTGCCTTCCCCTCTGGATCCCACCGAACCTCCGGAATTTCCATGGTTACAAGATAAATTGATCCTTGCTAACCCTGGAGCTGGCTGGAGCATCAGTGCTGCCATGGCAACTTGACAAAATAAACACAGGGCTTTTCAACGTCTTTAGGCAGAGTCTGCCCAGAGACCAGGTTCCTAGTTTTCCTTTTTTGTTTACAATTCACATTCCACTTGGTCAACGTATTCTCCTTGACACATTTTTGACACTGATTACATGCGCAGTACTGTGCTAGCTACAAGGGACAGAAACATGAAGTGCCACACACGTGAGAACAGACCCTAAGGTTTGTTGGGCACCTACTAAGTGCCAGATGCTGGATACTTGGCATATTTTATCACAGCAAACCCTTACAAGTCCATGATGGAGGCCCCATTTTACAGGTCAGGACACTAAACGAGATTAAATAATTTGCCCAAGGACATGCCGTTTGTAAGGAGGAGAACTGGATTTCAAATCTGAGTCTGAGTGTCTGCAAAGCCACTGGGGTTTCCACCTTATTGCTGCAGCCTGAGAAAGATTTGATGTAAGGTACAGTACAGATCTATTTCAGAGTGATTTCTCTCTTCTCCTCCCTCTGGGAAGTGGTCTTACTATTGTGCCTTTCTAGTGGATTGCTTTCTGTTGTTGATTCATCCCATTATGCCCATAAGGATGGGAACTGTTACTTCACTACCTGCAACACTTCGCAGTGCTTGGCTGGAGTAAGTGCTCAGACCCTGCCCCTGGTGTGTCCTGTGGCCACCAGGTGAGGGTGACAGTCACGGTCTCCCTGTGCAGTCTTTCCCTCAGCAGGGAGCAGTTTGCAGAGAAATGTTGGTGCATCCATCCACTTGCTCAGCAAATGTCTAGTACCTGCCTTGTAATAAGCTCCGTGTCAGGCACTGGGACAGGGATCCTGTGGGACAAACTTGAATGGAACGTAGATTTTCTTTCTGCATGCTTATCAAATCTTGGAGAAATGATGGGCCCAGTCAAGACCCAAAGACGGGAATGGCTAAAGTGCTGGATTGAAGAAGGTGCCCAGCACAAAGTAGGTCCACAAGTATTTGTTGGAGGATTGGATGAGGACCAGATGTATGTTCACGAAGAGACATTAACAGGAAAAGACGGTGAATTCAAAGTGTCAAATGCCAATGCCACTGAACAGCTGTCATCATCAGGACTTTGAGAATGGGGGCTGTAGATGGATTAGAACTATAGGCATATATCTCCTGGTGGGCCTGGGCTTTAAGACTGTTCTAGGTGGAGAGGTATCAAGATAGGTAAGCCCAGGAAATATTCATAGAGTCCTTCAGAAAGTTAGAAGATAGGGGTGCAGGAGGGCTGAGAGAGAGAGGCCAGGGCCAGATTATAGAAGGTGCTGATTGCTGGGGTGAGAAGTTTGCATCTAATTGGTAGGCAGTAGGAGCCATTGCAAGTTATTGAGCAGGGGAATGGCATAGAGTTGGAGCAGTTCCTTGGGAAAACCTCAGCCCCTGTAGAGGAGAGAAGCTGGAGGGATGCCTGGGGCTGGGCGTGCACACTTGTGTGATTAACTAAGTCAGTGAAGCCAGATCCACGTGACTCCAAGCCCACGTTTCTTCTTACCCATGTTGTTAAATGTGATTCGTTTTTGGCTGAAGAAGACCCAGAACACATAAGCCATTTTAGAAAGATTTTCCACTCGGAAGCTAAGCATTAAATAGATATCCTCATTGGGTGTACAGAGTAGACACCAGTTATCTGGCAAATCCTCTTATGCAGAGACACCCTCCTTGGTGCGGTATACGTGGCTGTGTGACAGCGTAAGAGAGGCTGCAGGCACTGAGGGTGTGCTCATGGGCCCCATCTTGCTTCTGAGCCCTGGAGGCTCCTGGTTGCCCTCTCCCCCACCCTGGAAACACCCCAGCCCCACTCCACACAGTCCCTGAGTCTCTGGAGAGTCTGGAGGATGTAAACAGTGAAAAAGGGCGTCCATTTCTCTTTGACCAGGCGTGGCCAAGAGGACAGGGTCACCTGGGCGCCCAGTGGACTGGGGATAAGGGGAGAATCAGTCTTTTAGGACTGAGTCCAAAATCCCTGTGTCATTGGTGGGGTCACCCATGTTCGAAGACAGCTGCTGTGCATTTCCTCTCTCCCTCCTGGACACGCTTGCTGCCCACCACTTCAAGAGCTGGAATCTGATTCTTCTCCCCTTAAATCTGGGACTATCCTTGGTGAAGAGAAAGTGTAATGGCTTTCTTGGTGAAGAGAATGCAGTATTGGTGACATTCTGTGGTTAAGTCCTAAAAAGCCTTAGCTTCCACTTGGGCCTGTTGGGACGCTCACTTGCTCCAGGGGAAGCCCACATCATCCAAGAAGTGCAGTGACACAGAGGCCATGGTGCTGGGGGAAGGGAGCGAGCATTTCAGGAACGTTCTGCAGGTTAAGCCAGCACGCGTTACGGGGGATTGGCGTGGACAACAGAGACAGGAGGACTCCTTTGCTTGTTCTTACGGTGAAGGACTCCTTTGCTTGTTCTTTCTCCTGTGAAAGCATGCCTCGGGCGTAAGAGCTCAACCTTATTTTTGTCTTGCACTGTCTCGTCCCTGTAGTGAGTGGTTTCAACCCAGTGGTTCTCAAATGTTGTTGCCATTAGAATCACCTGGGAGCTTTCAAGAGTCCTGTTTTTGCCCCAGTGGTATCAGCTGGAACAGCAGGGGCTGGAGTCCAGGCTTCTAGCCTGTAGCTTCCTCCGAACTTGTCTGGTGCCTCCAGGCAACTTGGTCACTCTCTCCTCTTGGGATTTCATCCTGCAAGGGCTTGTTCAGGTGGCTTGGGCTTCCTCCCAGTATGGAGGTCCCGGGGTTGTTGCTCTTCTTGCATGGTGCTGGCTCCCCGAAGAGTATTCCAGCAGTTCTAGGTAGAAGCTGCAGGCTTACTAGGACCTGCCTGGAAGTCCCAGAATGTCATTAACACTACATTCTTTCAGTCAAGAAAGTCTCCAGGCCAGCCCAGATTTAAAGGAAGGAGAGTCGGATTCCAGCTCTTGATGTAGCGTGTGTGTCTAGGAGAGAGGGACAGAATGGATGGTCATTGTCCTTGGGGACTGGCTACTACCTGGACCAAACAAAACAGGTGTGTGGGCTGGATTCATCCTGGGGCTGCCAGTGTATTATCTCTAGACTAAATAACGGTGTGTAGAGCTTGGCAAAACCTTAAAACACTGCCAGGCCCAGTAGAAAAGTCACTTATTTATTCCTGAGGAGGTAGGCCATGACCTTATTAGGCTGAACCATGTGAAACTGCTGACATCTGACCATTTTTGACCTATCAAATGACCATTTTATTTGGTTCAAATTCATACTGCGGAGATCCAAGTAGGCTTCCTGCGCTTGAGGAGCTGGGAATTCCCCCACCTCTCTCTTCCGCCTGTCTCTTGGAATCTGGCCCTTGCTAGGTGGGAGGATTCAGTCTCACCTACATATTTACATCATATTAACACTGGGCCTGTCCTTCTGGGAGACACCACACGTGTATCTAATCACAGCTGAGATGCTGGCATATCCCCTGCTAATTCCCCTTCTCTTTACCCCCAGGACCTTGAGAGGCTCAGTTAATTTGCATTTCTATCATTTTTCAGGAGGAAAAAGACACAAAAGACATCTCTTCGAATTGGAGAGGTGATTTTTTTATCTCCTGAAACTCTCTTAGCTATGGGGAAGGGCCTCATTCTGACAGATACGCAAGAGACTAGCAGAAATTGTCCATCCCCAGAGGAACATATTACTGTCCAGAAAAATAGAATTCCGCAAGAGACTAGCAGAAATTGTCCATCCCCAGAGGAACATATTACTGTCCAGAAAAATAGAATTCCGCAAGAGACTAGCAGAAATTGTCCATCCCCAGAGGAACATATCACTGTCCAGAAAAATAGAATTCCAGGGAATCCGGCAGTCTGCTTCTTGGAGAATATTTTCTTCAGCCAATGAGTGCTTCTTTTCCTTCGAGCAAGAATTATCATTAAAATACAAATTGTCTGTTATCTTAGGGCTTGTCTTGTTGTCCTTCAGGTTTCCATTGCAAAGATTTAAATATTTTATCCTTCCAATTAGACCCGCTTCAGGAGAGAGTACAAGGCTACATTTTATGCAGAGGTGTAATGAGCAGTTCAAGAAGTAAACATTCCAGTGATTTTTGTAGACTAATTTTCTAGTGTTTTAAGATTTCAGACATTTGACTTGAACAATGGAATCTCACAAAGCTAAGAGAACTGGGACATATGCGGGTGGACGGCAAGTCTCCAATGAAATGCTTGAGTGTTTAGGGAGCACTTGCTGTGTGCTCTATTCTGCTGAGGTCCTGTACCCCAGCTCTTTCTACACTGAGGTGATGGAGACCCATCTGTGTTCACTCCCTCCTCACTGTGTCCCCTCAAGACGTCCCTGTACCTTCCCATCACAGCTACCATTCAACGATGCCTTTGAGGTACCAGACAAACCCTGTGCTGAGCAATACACAGAATCTCACTGAATCCTTGCAGCGGCCCCATGGAATAGGCACATTCAGATCCATTTTATAGGCGAGGAAACTGAGACTTGGAGGGCACATAGCTGGGGATCAAACAAAGGCCTCTGCATCACATCAGCCTATTATTTTTAAGAACTTTTTTAAAGAGATGTTTTAGGTTCACAGAAAAATTGAGAGGAGGGCATAGAGATTTCTCAGATGCCCCTCTGCCCCTGTTTATGCACAGCCTTTTCCACCATCAGCATCCCCACTGGAGCTGTGCATTTGCCACAACTGATGAACCTACATTGACACATCAGAATCCTCCATAGTCGCTGGGCATGGTGGCTCATGCCTGTAATCCCAGCACTTTGGGAGGCCGAGGCAGGAGGATCACTTGATGTCAGGAGTTCAAGACCAGCCTGACCAACATGATGAAACCCTGTCTCTACTAAAAATACAAAAATTAGCTGGGCGTGGTGGTGGGCACCTGTAATCCCAGCTACTTGGGAGGCTGAGGCAGGAGAATTGCTTGAACCCGGAAGGTGGAGGTTGCAGTGAGCTGAGATTGTGCCATTGCACTCCAGCCTGGGCGACAGAGTGAGACTCCATCTCAAAAAACAAAAAGAAAAACAAAAACAAAACACTCCAAAGTCCATAGTTTACATTAGGGTTCTCTCTTGGTGGTGTACATTCCGTGGGCTTGGACAAATGTATAATGACGTGCATCCACGTTATAGACAGTATTTTCACTGGCCTAAGAGTCCTCTGGACTGCATGTATTTACCTCTTCCTCCCCTCAACCCCTAGCAATCACTGATCTTTCTACTGTCTTCACAGTTTCACCTTTTCCAGGGTATCATAGTTGGAATCATTCAGTATGTAGCTTTTCAGATTGGCTGCTTTCACTTAGTAATATGCACTTAAGGCTTGATAGCTTTTTCTATTTTATTTTTTATTTTTATTTATTTTTTATATTTTTGAGATGCAGTTTCACTCTGTTGCCCTGGCTGGAGTGCAGTGGCATGATCTCAGCTCATTGCAGTCTCTGCTCCCCGGGT